AGTATCCACCAAATCTCTTCCTTGACTATTCTAATGGGAAAGCGAGAATGTTCCTTGACGACTCCCTGACATCCTTGAATATCTGCAGTCACCCGACTCCCAAGAGACTGACGAAGATGAACACAGAAGGGACGTTTGTGTTACGTCAACAGCTGACGAAAGAAAAAGAGACGATTATGAAAACTACTCGCTAGTTCTCCCGAGCACATCAGGACCTGAATATGAGATATGAAATCGACTAGCTTATTTTGAAATGTTTCACAGCTTCTGTCGCATCGGGATAAATGAATGGTCTAATGTCCACAAATAAAAGCAAAGGAGTTTTCTTTGACGTAACCGTCTCAATATTGATACTCCGGGTAGTCCCAGTACCTACCCAACAAAATAGTTGCCAATAAAATTTTGTTGGTTCGTTGATGATTTTCGTGATATCAGACGAAAACGTTTGAGCTCATGAATGAGATCAGTGACCCTACTTCAGAAGCTCATTCAATCCAAATCAACGAGCGATTGAGGTATGAACACGGAGACAAACTCCCGAATGTTATGATTTTATCTCTAGCATGCTATTTAGAGCCGCCTCTTCTAACCACTCGGTAATCATTTCAGCAAGTACAGAAAATTTGCAAAGACTGTGCAGCCGTTCACAACAATGTCCCTTACCGGTAGCAGTAGGAATCAACCACTTCTTTCTATCGCAATGATGATTAGGACAATAATTCAATAAATAATTGGATCGTCCTTGACATCATCTACATGGCTCGGGTGGATACTCGTGTACTGGATATCGCTTTAATAAGTCACACGAGTCGACGGAGCCAAGTTGAAAGATGTCACCCACCATGATAAGAGAAACACTCCCGAAGAGCATGGATGTATATCAACTTGGCGCCCGTATATGCGTCAGCGCACGTGATATGCCATCGATAATAGTGTCATGCAGGCATCCTATCTCGTCGATGATAATGACCAGTGTGTCACTTGTTTGCAACTGCCTATGACCTTTTCTTGGAGCTTTGTGATGAGCGGTCTACACCTCAAGATCCCGGCCAGCATATCGTACGTACTGTTCCACCTCGTCGATACGTCAAAGAGAAGTTAGAACGCCTTGCCTACATCTATCTCATCTTTAGTTGCGTCCAATAGATTTCGAGCAGGTTCGATTCCGAAGTCGCAGAATCGTTCTTGCGTTCGGAGTTACCGTCGGTAACTCACCGAAGGGTGGAGTGAAACGATGCTCGCTGTGAGGCTGAGCTGTCACGAGTAACCGACTTTTCTGCGGGAAATTCTTCTCTATACGAGTCTCATCCAAGGGTTCCAGTTGATGAGAAAGAGTCGACCTCCAGCTATGGTCGACTCCTCATTTTTTCATCAGCACAAAGCTTCTCCGAGAGAGCACCATCCGTTCTACAATTACGATCGATTCCACGCACGTTCCTGGATGGATCAACCTACCGTTGATGGCTCTTCCCTGCTAAGCCCATGTCCTGTTGATAGCCTTCATGCTGACGAAGAGCGAGGGAGAAGGTATTATCATCCCGCTTTCCGGTGCGTTCAGACACACTGCCAAAGACTAGGGCTCGCCCATCAGCGGAATCCGGCAAGCCTGATAGCCGATTCAGCCGATGCCTTCAGCAGGGCTACGAGAAGGTACATACTGTACGTCCCACACTTATACCCGTAGTCTATGGGGCGCAACTGAGATACATAAGGTAAAGCTCTGTTGAGATGAGTGTTCGATGGGACTCGCCAGGAAAAGCGCGTTCTTATAGGAGAGCAGGGAGGAGCAGGATGGGAGAGAGATAAAATTCATGCTTTATAGTTAAAGCACGAGTCGGGCACAGATTCTGTGCTCGATTATGAGCACAGATTCTGTGTCACAGGAGCATCAGAAAAGAGAGAGCATTGGGGGGGGACAGAACGAGAGGTACATTGCCATACTGGAGCGTGATCCACTAAGGATGGGGAT